CGGATGTTCCGCGTGTCTTCGCGTCGCTTCTCGTAACGCGATCATTTCAACGAGAATCTCGATCGTCTCGTACGAGAGATATTAATATTAATCAATCGCGTTTAATTGTCGCGAATCAATTATACTTAAAACAATTATACTTACAAAAGTGCGCGTATTACATAAAGTTTCCGTTTTCGTCGCGTTCGGGAGTGCCGTTTAGATGATCGAACTAAAGACTTTTCAAAGCCCATTTGAGGTACAAGTATTCGTTAAATGTCTGTTCCTGTCGATGGCCACACTTTTGAGATTCGGCAGTTTTTGGGACACAATACTCGCCGACTCGAAGTGGAGGCGAACTTGACGGAACAGAATACGTACTTTCACATGGGCTTTAACGGGAGTGTAAAATCGCGCGAACGATTTTGGTGTTTTCGCGAGTGTGCCAGACAATCTGACAATGAGTGGAGGAGGAGGCCTGGAAAAGGCATCAGGCACCGGCGGAGCAACTTTAAGGTAAATGTTATTTTGCATTTTGTGTAAAAGCAATCTCTTTTCCAGTTTATTTTTGAGTCGTTTCCTTTCACAATTCAATAATTTCGAAGTAATAATTAGAGAAGAAGAAACCATTTAAAATTTTATAAAAGTTTATTCGCGTGAAGATCTCTTGCGAAAAATCTTTCGCGCGTTAATCATCTAAACATTTAATCGAATGAAGTTTGATACGCATAAGAATTACTTATGCGATAACTTTTATTTTGTAAATATATTTTACAATATTAGTTTCCACATTGAACACTGCTTTAACAAATTCTATATTTGTGTTACAGATTCAACGTAGTCAACTCCGCTGCTGCGCGTCGGTGTCGGTGAGTGAGTAGTTTTTTATTCAGGTAACGAATCTCGTAAATCGTAGAATGTAGATAGAATGTAGATCATAAATTGATATATTTTGGAGATTCGTTACTAAAATGGATAGATTAAAACATAATTTCCTGTTAACTTTAATATATTTCATTTACCGAAGGGGAATGATCGCGATTTTTATTGTGGAGGGTTGGGTGCTCCGTTGCAGCACACGTCACATATTTTCACGCAAAATATGACCAATATTATTGATACATTCGTCGAGCTAATATCTTGTAACCCATTCTATCCATTTTTCATTAGCAAATTTATGTATGTATATAAAGTAAAATACCATGACGTGAGATTTTGTCGAGAACGCTGAAACTTTATATTATTTTCATACGTTATTTGAGATTATTGTTCAACTAGAATGTTCAATTATCGGTCTACCTATCGTACGATAAGTTTCTTTTCTCTGGATCTCACGTCATTTATTCTGTATGTGTATCCCGCGATACACTTTCAAGATGCGTCTCGCATGAATACATGCATAGTTACACGCATCTTCGTATTTTCGCGGTCGGTTTTCGCGATCAGCTTTTCAAAAAATTTTAAAGAAGTTATTAATTGTTTAATTTCATCCATATTATAAATTTAAATTTATATCGGAATGTAATTAAAATAAATACAACGCGAAGTAAATTGTTTTTTTCCTACATACATATAATATATACTTGAACTTTGAATTTAAAGATTGAGTCACGAAAGTCATTATCTATTCTCGAATAAATAACGGAAGTAAAAATATATTTGAAGTGTTTTATACAGCAAATTTTTTAAACCAATTTTTTCTTTAATTAACTTCTCGTGCATTTCGATACGATCGACGCTCGTATATAGTTCGAACCGTACGATATATCTGTCGGTGACGATAATAAACCGACTATGGAAGGAGTTTTCTTCCTTCCTGATCTCTGGTCAAAATTACCAGACTGTATGGCCAGGCGCAACGAATGGTAGGTCCAATCTGGCCCGACGAAGGGATACGACGAGGTAAGTGGTCAATATTGGCCACGTTGATGGAGTATGTAAGTAAGGAGTTGTGCGAAATAAGTTGATTTCTTCTTATTTGCCAAAATTCGGGTGGGTTATATTCTTATCTGCTTTACATATTCTCGCATATGTGTGAGATTAAAAAGACCCCTATTAAATCCTTATTAAATCGCACGCGTATAATCCCAAGTCGAACCTCTTATAAATCTCGTCGCGGTTTTAACGAAAGACTCGTAAGTTTATTAACAAAAAGTTGGAACGCGAGTAGGTAGGAAAATGGATATGACTATACAGCGAAATACGGGTAGGTAGGTAGGGATTCTAGTAGGCAGGAATAGGGGGACATAACTCGATAATGTTGGCCAATGTACTGTCAATGTGAACGCAATACCGTGCAATTATTGACACGTAACATTGCCGTTACATTAGTATTTATTCTATATTCCATATTCCAATTTTATTGGGCAATCTTGGCCAGTGCAATTTCAATATCAATCCAATATTAAATAATCATCTAGGTGCAACATTAATAGTATATTTGCATTTATTTTATGACCAATATTGGCATTATATTGGGAAAATATTGGCCAATGCACTCCCAACCTATGTTTAACCAATGTTAGCTAATGTATAGCTAATAATTAAATTATGCTACTAGGGAGGCGTTTATGTGCAAAGGCAATAAAATTGGAATAATAGAATAAAGTCTAATGCGATTTGTGGAGGTTTAAAAAATATAGTAACTATTAATGTAACTGAGTTAAGTTACAGTTACAGATGGAGAGAAAGTAACGAAGTTAAGTTAGAGTTGCCAAAAAGAAGTAACTGTAACTTCGTTACAAGTAACGAGTTGCTTCCCAACCCTGCGTATACACAAAACAATAAACGCGTTAATTTGAGCACGTAAGAATTGATCTGACACTTTATTTTCTGTGTAGATCATCTTCGGTCTAAGAGATTTCAAAGTGACTGAAATGTTTTATTACTAAATATTTAGTTAGAATGAGGTTAAACACAATTTTTTTACTCATTTGGGCCTCAAATTGGAGTTTAAAGCCGACTCCAAGGTCCAAATCAAATGAAGACAGAGTAGAATAAGTGAGACTCATTTCGGGACCAAATACTCGACTCGGGATCGCAGAGCAAAATATCGCACGTAAACGCTTTCAACGTTTAAAAATATAGTTTCCCGAATATAAAATGTGAGCTTCGGAAGTATATTTGCTCGTAACATCTAAGTAAATGTATTTTACATTTGCGCGTCGCGATAGAAAAGGTACCCAGGTAAGGGATGCTGTACGTTTTCTTCTGGAATAAATCGTCGCGCTAACGGATTTCAAATATTGAATGGCATTAAAGCATGTTACAGGAAAACGAGTGGTACCACCGTTCGCCGATATCCTACCGGAGCGATATTATTTATGCTTATTTTGTTATGGCGTAAAAATGTCAGGTTGTGTACTTTGCAAGAGTTTGTACAAACAATGTAATTTTTGTAGAATTAGTTATGACATAACAATTTAGAAAATTGCGCTTAGATACGGTCGATTGAAAGGCTGCGAGAAAGGAGATCGTGCGACGATCGCATTTAATTGGTGGACTTGCACGCCCTTCTGGATCTTTAAGTTTCTGCCGTGCAATTTCTTCTTCATGCACGCCAGATATGCGTTGCAAATATTCGTTTGCATATACCTACAGAACGCAATCTGCCTTGCGTTTTGCGCATGTTATGACGTGAATGCCATTTCATTCCATCGATATTGACTGCGAGGAGATTGTCGTTTTACCATAAAGCATACTAAAATTCCATTTTTAAGTTAGAAATATGACGATATTAAAAATTATATATTGCCACTGTTACGCAAATTATGTTTGTTGTGCAGATATCCATGATATTGCCTCGCAAGATTAAAAGGCATAAATTTTTCTAATCTAAACTCCATTTTGCAGAATAAAAAAAATTAATGTTGTCTTTCTTTGTTTCTGTTATGAACAGTCGAAAATACGAAATATGAATGAAAACTATAATACTTTTATATGTATTTCTTTTTATTATTTTGCCATTTAGTCGCGCTTTAATTATGAGTGAATAAATATGTATGAAAAATACATATGTATTTAATAGTTTTGAAAACCGTAGCATTTTAATTATGAGTAGAAGAAAGTCCTCTATTATGAGATAGCGGGGTTTCTGCTAAATTAACAGGCATCTCATCTCTTGGTTCCACCATGAATTTATTGCCCTTGGAGTGAAATGTGTTTAGTCGAAAATTGATTGTTAGATCGTGTAATCGAATAAAAAAAATTCCAAAAAAGATTGCGATTGAATTTGGACGTTAAAAACCTACTATCTTACATTAGAATCCTATTTCATAATAGGGGACTTTCCTCTATAATATAATTATGCTCATAATTAAAGCGCAACTAAAGAACTAAATAATAGAAATAAGTAAATAATGAAACAGTGTGTTAATTAATGCAAAAGTATTCATAATGAAAAGAAATCTTTACGATTTTAGAACTGATTTAAACTTAAAAATACTTCAATCGATGAATTTAATCTCCATCTTCGTGAACTTTGATATTTGTCTGTCGAATAAGGACATGATAAAATTTGATTTGCTGAAAAATAGGGGACAGCTTTTAGCTTTAAAATACGAAATCATAAAACAACAATTACAATTTAAAATATTCTATCGTGGTTTTTTAGTAGAATTCCATTTATAGAAATAGTGAAGAAATAGTAAAATCTGATATTTCTTCCAATTTTATGGTATCATAAATTAAACGTATAAAGTAGAACTGGTTCTATATTTAACTATTTTCTTCGTACCTACTTTATTTGTAGAATAATTTTTGGCATAGTAACTGTGATAATTTAATTCTAAAATAGAAACTTTTTAACACAATTCGAAGTTAAAACATTTTTTATGCTTGTGTTAATCAGTATATCATTAATCAAATACAAACTTTTTGTTACAAACTTATATACTGAATATAAATTAATTATTTTTAATCGATCGCCGAGCTTATTCCTTAGATAACACAGTACATTAGAAAATTGTATTATACGTTCAGATCTGTTCAGATCTGTCTCTCGAGATTAATGTGTTACGTACCATAACTTTCGTCCCAAGTTCTCCAAACACTGCAATCGGTGGCAATTCCTTGGGGACATATCGAAAAAATTCCGAGCCTTTGTACCATTTGACAGTGTAAAGGGTGTCCGATTGTAAATCGTATCTGCAGGACATGTTGACTCTTGTACCAGCTGCTACTGCCAATGGAATGTCGATCGACACATTGCTTAGTCCGCGGGCGCCTAGAAAAAAAAGAAGCAGGTCATTATCAATTTAAATATTAAAAATTGAACAGATAAATTATTAATCGACTTTAAATGTAATAACTCTAACACAATGATTAATAAATGTCAGAAAAGATTTAATGTATACATATAAACTTGACTTTTCTTATCGTGGGAATTTTAAGCTTAAAATGAATTTTATAAAAGCTTCATAAACTTATGAGAACGTGTAAATATACGTTTCATTTTATATTTATGCATATACGATACATCAATGTGAACAGAATAGAGATTTTATCAACAAATGCTTTGATAAGCTTGTATGGACATTGCGTCAGTTTTGAATATTAAGCATCTTTTTAATCATTTTTTATGTTAAATACTTTTTAGTAAAATTTGATTTAAATATCACAGGGCACGAGTTTTATTTGCACTCGTGAAATTCTATTTGCAAAATATTGTATATTTTTGGTCGTATAGAATTTGAAAGTTGTTGATGCTTCGGTATTCTCATTAACCAAAAAGTAGACACATTAATCACAAAATTTTATATACGTTTACATTCATATGTAAATAAGGACATCTCGCTATTTCGACGGTATGATTATTTAATAATTAATTAGAAATTCATTATCTTACTAATTATTGTCTTTACACAGAAAAAAATAATATTCTTCTTTTGAAAACATGTTTAGTTTTAACGTGATAATCTTGAAACGAGATTATATTGCGTTAAAGTAAGGAAAAGTTACTTAAACGAAGCGATTTTATGTAATCCAATTAAGAAATATATACTTATTATTTAAGAATAATTTTCTTGAATGGAAAGGAAACAATATTGGATAGAAAATAACATATTTTTATATCGAAGATTATAATGATTAAAACGATTTTATTGTTACAATAATTAAATGTATTCTTAAAGTTACATATTATGGTATTTAAATAAGACTGTAATATTGTTGGAATGCAAGATTATTAAATGCTTCTAACAAGATTATAAATTGTTGCGTATATACAGTACAATGAACGCGTTAATTTGAGTATATGTATAAGAGTTGATCTGACGCTTATGTCTTTTCTGTGTAGAATAAACGCACAGAAATTTTAATGTTCTTGATCTGCGATTCTTATTTAATCAGCAACTGAAAGAAAATATGATTAATTTATTATTAATGTTATTTTACAAATGGACGGGGGCGTTTTTTTGGACAAATTCAGTACAGATATTTTCTAAACAAAAGAAGAGTACATATTGTTACTTGATTAATTATTTTATGTACACAAGCAAATTGAAAACTTGCAGATTAAATAAGAGATAATTGCAGTTTCAAATGTATTTTTTATTATTTTTGTACACAACGTGCATACCGACACATACACGTACTTATACTAAGTAAAATCTCTTCGTTGAACAAAGAACTTGTTCCTTTCTGCCATCGAAAAAAGTAAGTTGCGCAAGACGCTCATCTTACTTACTTTAATAACTTAAATAAACAAGTGTTTAAACTTTTCCTGCAAGCCTAGCAATGTCATCAACGTTGTTCGCTCCACGGATTACTATTGGTGAACGAAAGGCGTCCTGCCAAAAAACCGTTGGCGACGCTTGCGAAAAATAACATCACGGTCGTCGACTTTTAAGCACCTATCGCGCATTTGCTTAGATCGAGTTTGGAACTTATTACCATTCCAATACACTTTACGTGCCCTGCCGCCATGCATTATTCATCGAAGGTTTGGAAGGACGTTGCTCTTTAGATAAATTGGTTGTAATAAAGTTTTCATTAAAGATCGATAAAAAAATGTTTCTTAATACAAGGAGAACTGATCCTAAAGGTGAGGATTTATGACGCTAACGAGCGATTTAATAATAGGAAGCTATTTTATTCGAGAATAAACGCATCGTCCGCGATTTACTGGGTGGTCCGTTATATCTTAATTAATATGCATGTAGAATATGTGCTGTAGGCGTTTAGCGGTATAAAGTATTAAACATGATACAGAGGAATGTCAGCAGTATGACCGAAAAGCGCTACACAGAAGTGCTTACCGACGCGTGTTACAACGCCACCGTAAATTTCCGGCCCTTATCAGCAGCGTTGCGAGAAATCTGCGCGGTCCGTCATTGTTTCGGCTTAAGAAGAAAAATCTAACCGAGGAGAGATTGTATATTTCGCACGGCGCGCGAATTTGCGGGATCAGCGACCAGCGAGCGTGCCGTGGGCTCGCAACAGCGGACTAACGCGAAAGTTTGGTCATTAATTAATCGTTTTTCGGTGTAGCCTCCTCTAATTAATTATTTATGCCTCGATCCACCGGTGGTCATTGTGCTAATAAAGTAATTAAACGATAATTAATTTGCAAAATAATTAATTGAGAAATTAGGTGAGCAAGAAGAGAGAGGGAAGGGCTCGTAGAGAGACGTGACTATTAAAATAATCGCACGACCGTTAAAATAATCGCGCGCATTTCAACAAAAATATACGGACAACTTCCTTGACATCGGGCATAATGGATAGAATGCGCGTGCACGAGCGAGAGTAATCTTCTGTGTCGGTTTCTTCCTCGCGTGCGGCCGGTTTTAATTATCGCATTATAATAGGCGTCATTAAGCGCGTTCCCGTTTCCTCCGATAGAATATCCCCGTCTCAGCAAAGCGAAAGTTTTTCACTTGCAGAGACGCGCGACTCTTTATCACTAATCACCGCACAGTTTTGAACTTGGCCGGCGCGGCGTATTAGACGAACATTGCGTAATTAGAACCAGTAATTGGAACGTCTGCTCCTCAAAGTTTCAGGCATTGGGCTACGTATAGTCAGGTGTTTGGCCTCAGCGTGCGCGGGTGCAGCAACGGCGCTCTCGCAGATCGCTGCGCCGAGATTTAAATACCAGGCGTTCACTAATCACCTTGCTAATCCTTAATTACCGGCCCTCGCGAGGAACGCGCGATTGTTACTCGCATCGCGGCTCATCGTGTTGTGCGCCTTCCGTTTTTGGAAGGCGAAATCTTCCCATAAATAACGGCAATCCCGAGACAATGGCATCGCATAAACTCACTACGTATATATCAGGACTCATCTTAAATTATCGCGAGAATAATAGAACTCGCGAGAGTGCACGCTTAAGCAGATTCGAAATCGTCCTTTGTGGCCAGTTCGCGTTCCCCCTCATGAATTTATAAATTCCTCTAACGTCAACAGCGAAACGTTGCAAGAACCATCGAACGTTGCATCGATTGTACGCAAAGCAAGCAAGATCACCTAGAAAAAAGATTTAGTTAGGCTAAACAAATGAGATACCTTTATACCTCTTGGAATCTACTAAATTTTTATCTTACTTGTACTAAAACATTTGCTAGATTTGGAGAAATAGACATGAATTCTCCGGGAACTTTCAGTCTTAATCAAACGAAATTTTGGTTAAGGCACAGGAATCATTTCTTTGAAATTAAATAAAAGTCTAGTAAGGTCAAAATTCAAGGAAAATTTGTTCGATCTCAAGCTTTTTTCTGGGTGTAAACACGTTGCGTCTAATCAACTAATAAGAACAGAATTCATATTTGTACGTCGCGATACGCTTAACAAGTTAATGCGAAATGGCAAAATCGATACACGAAATGTTTCAAATAATCATCATGCAGAAAATTCAGGCTGCTTCCGGTGTGACGGTAGTTTCGTTCCATTTGTTACGCCTGGATAAATTAATACCTAAGTTAATGTACGTATTCGCTTTCGTGTATTAATTGCGTTGGAACAATCCACACATAAAATCAAAGCGCTTATTTAACAAAGCAAGTTAAAATAATATCTTTGAAGAAATGATACGTGCATATTAGAATTACTTTTATCCTTTAATGAAGTCGCATCCTTTTATGCGTCTTGATCTCGAAATGTACATATAAATGCGGACGTGATCAATGGCAGGTATAATAAAAGGCGCGTGTAATACACACACAAAATAAAAGTAACAAAAGTTGGACGTTATCTCTCTCGACTCTTAAAAATCAAAACGTAATTACCACGAGCCGCGCAAACATGTTTATTTCGAAATATATACGGCACTGAATTCGCGAGATAATCCTAAACTCTTAATTGCGGCGTAATTACTTATGCGTTCGTCGATGTGCGGGTGGTGAGTTCTCGGGGAAACCTTTTGCGCATTATGCATATCCACGGCCAGATACCTTACGGCCATGAAGCCGGAAAAGCCAAAGGCGTAAAGAGCCCGCGCTCTGAAATGAGATCCCTTTCTTCCTTCGAAACTCAACTAAATGAAAAACCCATCCCCGCGAAAGAAAGCCGGCCATAGAGCTTTTATTGTTTCATGAAAGGCGAATGCAGACAGGGAAAAAGATATTGAAAATACGCATTGAAAAACCTCTTGCACGGAGCACTCTTCGATCGGCTCGCGTATCAGATGAATGAAAGTAGCACGGATTTTTTTTTCCACCTTTCTATCCAGAACTTATTTAACAAGCTGATATTCCGGAATTTACACTGATTCGATCGGAACTCACGGCAAGAAATTTTCCTCATTACTCACGAAACCGTAGAATTCGCGATGAATCTAAAATCTTGTTAATGAATCTATTAATATGTAATGCAGATACTTTGCCTTATATCAAGATATCAGTCTACGCGAAACTGTGGTAGGTAAAGGATACATGAGAGATTATGATTGTACCTCACGGCACTGCGTTCAAGTGCTCTTTTCTCGGAGCACAAGCTGCCTTTAAGGCAACGTACAGTTTCATTACATAAAACGCTCCTTACATTCGCCTCCAAAGCTGCATAAATCGCTAGCTCATCGCAATTCTGTTGTACGTAATCCATTGCAATCCGTTTACGATTGACGCGGGCGACACTGACGTTCTTTTTAATTCCGGAAATGGAAGCGTTGGGATTGACGTAAGTATCGGCGTCGCGCCGGTACGATTTTAATTTCCAATGGAAATCACGGACTCGATTTGCTTAATATCGGAAGACCGTGAACAGAGCGAATCTTGGAACTTTTTGAAC